GGCAGTAGGGTCATGCCATCAGCCAGCCAGCCGATGAAGACAGGAAACTGGAATGCGAGGACACACCTGCTTACTGGCTGGCTCAGACGTGGCACATGGCTTCCACTCACATTCCACGCAGGAATACTAGTCATACAGTGCTCCTTTGGCTCAAGTAGACTGAGAATCCGGCTGCAGTATGCGCAGGAGGAAACGGAAACAGTTTGGAGTATATGTAGCCAGTCTTTGCCATTGACCCACTGTCTTTAGGCACTCTTCCTTTCACTCCTATGTTTGGCCTCCTGCTTGACCATAAGTCCTTTTTTTTTTCTTTTAAGTTCATCTTTCCACATTTGTTAAATGCCAGCTCTCAACCCAACTTCATTTGTGAAAATGTGCTGCTTTCTGCTCTGGAATATTTAGTAAGATCTGTTGTATTTCCTAGCCCCCACTTTATATGTCTGTTGCTAAAGCCAGTTGATTACTTTTTGTTGGAAACTGATGCTAAAAACCCAGGACCTAAGGTCCCTGACTTCTAGCTGTAAATTGTGGTTGATTGGTTCTGTGTGAAATAGTGATCTGGGTTCCTGTACTGTAAACAGAAAGGTCTGGTAGGCCTCAGACCATCTAGACTGTAGTTGCCTTCCCTTCCCATGCTTTCTCCCACAGGGTCCTTGTTATGCATTACAGTCTTTTTGAAATTACCTTGTTTCTTTGATGTGATTATTGCCTCACAGGCCTTAGAGTCTGGAAAGTGAGAAAGAACTAAAAGCCCAAGGTACTGAGAAGGGCCTTCTAAAGTTCTGAGAGGCCCCCTTCAGCTCTCAAAGCCTATTAAAGGTGCATGGATTAGGGGCGCCTGGGTGGCTCAGTGAGTTAAAGCCTCTGCCTTCAGCTCAGGTCATGATCTCAGGGTCCTGGGATCAAGCCCCGCATCAGGCTCTCTGCTCAGCCAGAGGCCTGCTTCCTCCTCTCTCTCTGCCTGCCTCTCTGCCTACTTGTGATCTCTGTCAAACAAATAAATAAAATCTTAAAAAAAAAAAAAAGGTGCATGGATTAAACAATGAATATTGGATGGGAAAAGTTTGATTTATTTTGTTTTATTTTGAGTTGGTAATACTGTCTTAAAATATTATGTGGTTTTGGGCTTTATGTATTTCTTTCATACCCCTTATCTCATTTACCCTCACAGTAACATTTTGAGACAGATACTCTTCCACGGAGGAAACCAAAGCTCAGAGGTTAAGTGATCTGCCGAAGGGCACCAGCCCGTTTGTGGCAGGGTAGAACCGGACTGGTGGTGTTCCCACTACATGTTCGCCAACTCCAGTTATTCTTTGCTGGTACCATCACCAATTTGGGTCTCTGTTGGTTTTTAGTCCATATTTGGCTCCCTTCCCCACCCAAAGCGTCTGTGTTTATGGCCTTCCCGTCACTTTGATTCTGTTCCAGAGAGAAGTGGAGATCCTGATGTTCCTCAGTGCCATTGTGATGATGAAGAACCGCAGATCCAGTAAGTTTAGCCTGCGCCTCAGTTTCTCCAGCTCAGGCCACATGCCCTCCCGAGCTGCTTTCATCCTTGTTAGGAGAGGGGCATTATCTGGTGACTGAGTCCCTCACTCCATACCAGGGCTGAATTTGATCTTGGACTTTTATCCTCTTCCCCCTCTCCCATTTCGAAGTACCACAGGAAGAGTGACAAACAGGATATAGGAGCATGCTGCCCAGCCTGACCTGTGACCTCTTTGTGTTTCAGTCACTGTGGAGCAACATATAGGCAACATCTTCATGTTTAGTAAAGTGGCCAATGCAATTCTTTTCTTCCGTCTGGATATTCGCATGGGCCTGCTTTACATCACACTCTGCATAGGTAAGGAGATCGGTTGTGGGAACCAAATTCCAACCCCAGATCGGTCTCTCCATACCCTTCTTCCATATCTTTTACCTGATTAATTATGTATGTGGCTCAGGTGATAAGAATCTACAGAAACTTTAAGAAGAAGGGAATGTGTCAGTGGTCTGCATATGTCCACAACGCATATTCTTTGGGGCCTAAAATCTTTGAGTCAGTTTGGAAGTAAATCTCCTGCTGTAGGCCTTATATGTTTCCTCTGACATCTGTTTTCCATGTTTAGTGTTCCTGATGACGTGTAAACCTCCTCTGTATATGGGCCCTGAGTACATCAAGTACTTCAGTGATAAAACCATTGATGTGAGTTCTCTTCCTCTCTCCTTGTTTCTTGTGTCCTTTGTGGGTGTTTTTGTAGTTGTGCTTTTTACTCACTAGGAGGAGTAACTGCTTCAGATTGGAAGTCAAGGTTACTGTGGTTTGTTTCAGGAGTGAGGGAGAGAGGGGAGGGAAAGCCAGGGAGAGAGGGGAGGGAAAGCCAGGGTGAGGAATTAGATGCTCAAGTCTGAACCTTTCCGGAAGCCTTTGTGATTCAGCTCACTGGTTCTTTCCTGTGTGTGGCAGGAAGAGCTAGAGCGGGACAAGAGGGTCACTTGGATTGTGGAATTCTTTGCCAATTGGTCTAATGACTGCCAGTCATTCGCTCCTATCTATGCTGACCTCTCCCTCAAGTGAGTACTGTATGGGGAGGGATGACCAAAGCAGAGGTGCTGTGCTTTCCCTCTCATTGTTTTTGGCCTTGATTTCTCACATTGCAACCAAAGGCGTTTTCCCCCCCTCCCTAAATATTTGTTTTTCTACTTCCCTTGACCCACTCTCTTCTTTCCTTATGTAAATAATATATTTTTCTTAGGTACAACTGTACAGGACTAAATTTTGGGAAGGTGGACGTTGGACGCTATACTGATGTTAGTACACGGTATGTAAGGGCCTAGACAGAGGGCCTAGCAGTAAATCACTTGCAGTGATGTGGACAGATCCATTTATAGAGTCCTTTCTGGGTCCTGTAGGTACAAAGTGAGCACATCGCCCCTCACCAAGCAGCTCCCTACCCTGATCCTATTCCAAGGTGGCAAGGAGGTCATGCGGCGGCCACAGATTGACAAGAAAGGACGAGCTGTCTCTTGGACCTTCTCTGAGGTATCTGAAAGAGTGAGCGAGTGGTTTGGAGAAGGGTGTAGAACAGTGGTCCGCTTTGGAGTCCAACCTGGGTTTGATTCCTGGCTCTGCTGCTTGGCCCACTAGTTTTGAGGGTGTGGACTAGTTACGGGATTTCATTCATGAATTCATTCAGCAAATTTGTTGTGCTTCTACCATGTGTCAGAACTCCTAGCACAGGGGAACAGTTATTAGTTAAGATTCAGTCTCAAGAGCCCTTGTCAGTATAGTCTGTAGACCTGAGGTTCCTTAGCAGAAAATTGAAGAGAGTAACACTTGGATCACAGGGTTGTTTTGTAGAGGATATTAAATAATGTAGCTGTAATTCTTGGCACAGGGATGATCGCATAATGGGTACTTAACTGTATAGGGTTGACTCTTCCAGGTACCCAAAAAAGGAGAGTTAGAATAGATTTCTGTCCTTTTCTTCCTTTTTTCCTAGACTGTCTATGTCTAAGTGTCTGAATACTTCTTACTTCCTAGTAAGGACTGTCCCACCAGAACCCTGATGTGCGTATGTACCTCTTTTGTGCAGGAGAACGTGATCCGAGAATTCAACTTGAATGAATTGTATCAACGGGCCAAGAAGCTATCAAAGGGTGGAGATAATACCCCTGAGGAGCGGCCTGTGGCCTCAAACCCCATGGAAGTACCAGATGGGGAAAGCAAGAAGGACAAATAGAATCCCTGCCTTGTCAGTGCTTCCTCACCTCTGAGGCCCAGCCCCTCCTGTAACCACAAGCCTTGTGTGAGGCCTGGGCCTTTTATTTATGTTTTCTCCTTTGGCTATCCCTGAGTGGGGCAGGGTGCTGCTTCTGATTTTAAAGAGGCTTCCAGGGAATTGACAGGCACTCTCCAGGATGGCCTCCACTGCTGTGACCAACTTTCACTGGAAGAAGGGAGAAATCTGCCATGGATGAGGAAATGCTTTCCCTCCAAGCTTGGGTCAGTTATCAGTTCTTGTCCATCACTCACATGTCTCCAACATGCTGTGTGTTCATCCCTCCTCTTAGTGGACCTACACAGTCTGCTTAGATTATATTCGACCCAGCAGAAGATGCCTGTGTATGGAGTCTGTGCTAGGACTTTTCCCTGAAGGACCCTTGCTTCTCTAGGCAGTTCTGGCTTGGTCTGTGGCCTTCATTAAAAAGTATAAGGCTAATTTTGTCACTGGTCCCAAGGAGGCACCTTTAACCACTGAGGGTACTCATCGAAGATAATATTGCATAATCCCCTTATTTTTTGGAGTTTGGGAGGAAGGGGAATAGGTTTGAGACATTCCTTTGTGTGGTGGGGCCTCCCAGAGAAAGCCCTTGGGCAGGAATGGGGTTTCACTTACTCCCTACTCCCAACGCCCAGTTGATGGTTTTCCATAATAAAGAAACTGGGATTTCCTTTTGTTTGTGCCTTTGTGTGTTCCTCGCCTATTAGAAAAGCCTGGCCATTGCAGAGAAAGCGCCTATCTCCTCCTCAACTTCAAAGGCCATCCTGATGAGTTTCTCCAACTGCCCGGCAATGGTCCCCAGGATCAGGGAGTTTAGTTACCTGAATCCCAGAGTACTGACCTCACCGAGTTAGGCTATGGGTTTGGTTTGGGATTGGGCCGCGGTTTCCAGGGAGCGGGGGTGGAGTTTGTATGTCGTGGTCCAAGCTATTTAGCCCGATGAAGGCTTGCAGAAACGCCTGTGTGAAGCCAGGCTTGTTTCAGAGCTGCCTAGTCCGCGCCCCTCCGCAAGCGCGGGTGGTTCGGTCTGGGGCTTCTTGTAGCTCCCCCCCGCCACGGGCAGAGTGGTTGTGCCCCAGAGAGCGCCCCCCCGCCCCTCCGCGAGCAGAGTGGTTCTGTCCAGAGAGGGCTGCCCCCCCCGTCCGCGGGGCAGAGTGGTTGTGCCCAGGGAGCCCGCCCCCAGACCACGTGTGCGCCGGGCCACGCTCTGCGCAGCTAGGGAGACGCTTTGTCTCGGCGGCGGGCTTCTGGGCCTGTGGTTTGGACCTCGGAGCGGTGTTGGCCGGACCCCTATTCGCGCCCAGGTCGGCTCGGCTCCCGGCAGGGCTCCGGGCGCCATGGCTTCTCGTGGGAGAAAGCGGAAGGCCGAGGTGGCGGTGGTAGCGGCGGCTGCGAAACAGGAGAGGCCGGCGAAGGCAGCGGAGGCGACCGTCGTGATCGAGCATTGGTGAGGGGCCTGGAGAGGCCCGGGGAGGCGGACTAGGGCGTCGCAGGCCAAGGCCCCAGGCTCTGACCTTCCCCGTGTCTCTCTAGCACGAGCTGACGCGTCTACGGGCGCAACGCCGCGGCCCTGAGCCAGGCGCTGCGCCTGGAGACCCCGGAGCTTCCGGTGGAGGTGAACCCTGCCAAGCCCCGGAGGGGCAGCTTCGAGGTGACGCTGCTGCGCCCAGATGGCAGCAGTGAGTGGGGGCCCGGGAGCAGACGGGAGGCGCTGGTCTCAGACCGTGGGCACCTCGGCATTTGGGGGACGTGCCGGTGCATTCCAAAGTGACTTGGCTTTATTGGTCTTTTCCCAGGTGTGGAGCTCTGGACTGGGATTAAGAAGGGGCCCCCACGCAAACTGAAGTTCCCGGAGCCTCAAGAGGTGGTGAAGGAGCTGAAGAAGCACCTTTCGTAGGGTGTTTGGATTGAAGTCCTCAACGCTGAGGTTTGAAGGGGGCTTGGGTGGACTTGGGGTATTTGTGAAGCAGCCCTCATTTCACACACGATCTATAACTTCTTTTCTTGCTCAGAATTTCCCCTTTGCTCCTGGGTAGGAAAACTAGAACTCGGCAGTAAAATTATTTTCTGTTGGTGTGCCATTTGCTAATTGGTTACATGTTTTTGAGCTAAGTTAAAGGGTGCTGATGGTAACGTGAATGACTGTAGAAATGCAATTTGCGCCCTTTGAAGATGTGGATTATTGCCCTGGGTTGGGGTACGGGCCCTTTTTGTGTCCGTTAGATTTATTTTGCACACGTGATGGCAGTTGTTTTGTTTCTTAAAGCTGGTGGTGTAAATTCCCACTGGTTTCCTCGTTTGGGAGTTAAAGTTATTGACACTTGTTTTTGCTATTTTACCCCTTTGTACTGGCCAGAATTTTTGTGTAACCTCATGTGTGCTTATCCCTACCCTACCTTTTTGTGTTTTTTGTTTCGTTTCTAGTATGTTTTCTGTTAATCCCATGTGAAAACTGCAGTAGTATCCCTCATGGCCCCAATGATTTGACTGGTCTTTATCTCTGGTCCTTGGACATGTTGTCAGGCACTTGATATGCTGAGTAAAATGGGGGAGGATGCAATTCTTGAATTCTCCTTGGTTTGTGGGTTCTGGGGTGGGGGGTACAGCTTCCTCAGGCTTTTGGATTGCCTGGACCCTTTCTCTAACCTTTTTTTTCCCTTTGTCATGTTTACAGCTTCCTGTCTCTGGTGATGTTGGAGCATTTATGATGGAACATGGCCAAACTTTAGTCATGTACCTGAAGTCGTGGTTTCTTCCCCTCCAGAAAGGATGGTTCACTTGTGAGGCAACCTGCTAGTAAGGCATTGAACAGTTGGATTTGGTTCAATAAAAGTTGAAATAAAGTGTTTGAATAATAAAGTAAAACTTAATCTTATGATAAAAAATGGACAAAACCAACTATTTGTGGGATTGGCTCCCTTTGTATTTTTTTTCATATTCTGAGGTCACAAATTAACCTGGAGCTCCTAGGTTCTCTGGTAGATCATGTGAAATACTTGCAAAAACTGTGGGGCGGGGGAAGCAAATTATTTTTTTAAAAAAGCATCTATCTTTTTCAACTCACTTCTTGGAAGTGATGATGGAAGTTACGCCTTTTTGGCCCCTGCAAAGGTCTGGCTAGACCTCCCATACTGGACTAAATAAGCCACACATGTTAGGTATGGGAAAATGTCCTGTTAGTCGTACCCACTTGTTACACCCCAGCACTGTTTCACACCTTCTAAAATACATAATGTTTTGTAGAGGGTATTCTTTCTCATTTATTATTGAATTAGCAGTGACTAGATGCCTCATAACTTAGGAGACGTGGTGCTGGTTGTTACTTATGATCCAGTAGAGTTGGGGACCACACAGTTTATAGTTTCACTTGTTTATCACTAACTGGAAAATAGATTACAATGAAATAAGATGGTTCAAGTTCATAATTTTGTACCTATGGTACTATTTTTGCCTGGCTCCCAAAGCCTGGGGAGGAGAAGAGGGGACCTTAAGAGAGCTAGGAGTACACCTGCCTCTTGTGCTAAGAGGACAGGGCATATGCTAGCCTCTGTCAATAGACCTTTCGCTAGCCAACATTTCCCACCCTCCCATTGCCCCTAACCTACTTCTTGTTCTACGTTAGTATGTCCACTTCTGTGTCTGACTCTGAGGAAGGGTCGGGCCACACAGAGGGAATACCAGTGGGCACCAGCCTCCCCTCTGATGTCCAGTCCACCACATCAATCTCTTCCTCTTCGGAGCTGGCAGGAAGCGGGTCCAACAACTCAGAGTTGTCAGGTACCTCCTTGCCCGCCTCTGGAGCAGAATACAACACCTCATCCATACTTAGGGACACTTCTGGCCTAGTGTCCAACCAGTTTGAACAGGGAGGTGAGAGGTCCTCATAGGACCTTTGGGGAAGGTCAAGAGAGTCAATATGAAGCTTCTCTCTCCGACCATCCAATGGTTGGGAACTGGTAATTTCCAGATCTGGAGTCCAGGAACCTCCTACTGAAAGTACCTCCCCTTCACTCACCTCAGAGGGTATGACAAGGGGGCTAAGGGACTCAATTGGCTCTTTGTTCTCACCAACAGGTTCCTTTTCCAGTCCTGTGAGCTCCCTGGGCCAGAGTTCCAAGTCTGGCAAACACCATTCTTCCCCTTCGATCCAGTTCTTTCCTGTTTCTGTCAGGTGATAGCTAGGGGTCCTGCAGCCCTCTGCTCCAGGACTTTGCAGAGACCCTATGGGGGGCTCAATGTCTGAGCCACACAGCATGAAGTCCAGGATCTCCTCCAGCTCGCTGGTGGCAGCAGCAGTCGTGATGCGGTACTCCTCGGCTTCGCAGGGCTGCCCCAGCAGGGCTGTGTCAAATGCATACGGCTCTCTGCAGTCTATATCCAACCCAGTTTCCTTCCCTATCAGTTCTGGACTGGACCCGAACTCAGACTTCACCACTGGGTGGTCTGGGGAGCGGCTAGCAGAAAGCAGAATGTCTTGGAGTCTAGAGCACAAGGGGGAGTCCTGACACAGTTCTACCTGAGCAGATGACAGTTCCTGCTCTCTATGTGAGGATGGCTGAGTACTCGCAGTCCCTTCTGAGTGTTGTGCTTCTGGGATCTGAGGGCTGTCTTGAGAGTTTTTGAGGGGAGGCTCTTGTACCACCTCCCAGCATGTCCCATTGACAATCTTCCGAAGTTTCACTCTTCCAACTTGCCCCTCTTCTACAGAGTCTGAGTTCGGTGCCCTAACTTCAGGGCTCCGCTTCTTGCTCCCACCTGTCTTCCCAAGGCCAGATGGGCTTGGGATGCTCTGTAGAGGACTAGCTCTCCCTGGTTTCTCCTTGTCTTCTGGTACTTTATTTATACTCTTCTGCCGCCAAAGGCGCCGGCCAGGGGCTGTGGGTACTGAGGTGGGTCTGCTTACCATGCTAGAAGGCTTGGATGTACAGATATCCGGAGACGGCTTTGAGCGACTCAGTCTGATCTTTCTGGGCAATAGCCGCTCATCCACAGAAGGGTACATACTGGGTGGAGAAAGTGCTGTAGGAACAATGGCAGGGTCACTCTTGTTCTCTCTTGGTCCCTGACTGTGGCTTGATGGTGAAGAGCTTTTTTCTTGTGGAGTTGGGCAAGCTCTGGCCTTCTTCTTGAGCAGGTTGCCAGACAAGTTCTCTGCATTCTGTCGGTTGCTTTTTTCTAGGGGCCCCTCCTCCTTCCCTGAGGACTTCAATCTCACTGGCCCAAGAGGGCAAGGAGTCTGGGTCACAGGCAGTGGAGTCCGAGGGCGGCGGCTGGATGCCACCACCCTGGCAGAGATTGGTGCAGCTGCTGGAGGCTGTAAGCACTCCCTGTTCAGTCTTCGGCCCTGGGGAGCCTTCACCAACTTCCCACCCTCTAGCTGAAGGGATTCTAGCTCAGATACACGGAGCTGACGGGCAGCAGAAAGCACATCCTGGGCTTCTTCTCGAGATACTTCCATCTCTGAGGTATATAAGAAGTCCACCAGCTTCCTGAGTGTCCTGATCTTCAAGCCCCCCAGCTCCAGCACCACCTTCCGACCCTGAGCTGGCCTCTCCCGCTCCAGGCGCTCTGTGAAGAAGGGGCTGCAGGCTGACAGGATGCAGCAATGAGCTGGGACTGCCTCACCTGGAAGGAAATCCAAACACTTTATCTTAAGCAAACTGGCATGTTCATGGTCTGCGCAGAGTCTTTACTATCCAAATGTGCTGCTCTTTCTCTCAGTTTTCCTCCATGGAAGTTCAAATAGGAGAAATCTGTTCCTTCTGTCCGCCTGGAACCTTCTGTCATTACCTAACTAACACCATTTTATCTTTCAAAATCTAGTTTAGGGGCTGCTGGGTGGCTCGGTTGACTGTCTGCCTTGGGCTTCGGTCATGATCTCAGAGTTCTGGGATTGTGAGGCTCCCTGCTCAGTTGGGAATCTGCTTCCTCTCCTTTTGCACGCCCCCCGCCCCCGACCAACCACCACTCCCGCTCTCTCTCTCAAATAAATAAAATCTTAAAAACAAAACCCTGAAAATCTAATTTGGTCATTACTTCTTCAGAAAGCCTTTCTCCATCCCATGTCAAGTCTAGGTTAGGTGCTCCTGGGCACGGGGAGGTACTCTAGCTGTCAGAGCACTTAGATATCCATATTTTAAGTGTCCACCTCCTTCACTGAAGTGAAGCTCTATGACTGAGACTATCTGCTCACAGAGGTATAACCCGCTGCTTGACAAAAAGGAGGAGTTCAGATTTTTTTTAAACTCACAGGAGAGTTTTAAAAATTTTACAGAAGCTGTTTGTAATAGAATGTGAGCTCTGGATGTAGACAATCAGGGTTCAATTCTCTCCTGACCCTCTTAGGCACTACCCACCAGGCAGTGGTCTGTCCTCAGCCACCTTCCTTATGGGTACTTCCCTGGCAATCTCAGTCTCTCTCATGGCTTCAATTTCCAAAGGCTCGCTGCTGACTCCCAGGTCCTATTTTTGCCCAAATACCTTTTTCCTGAGCCACTAAACATGCCATAGCCTGTATCAACCTTTCTAGAAAATGAACTCCGTTCCCTAACCCCCAAACCTCCCATTTCTTACATCCAGCTGCCCAAGCCTGGAAACTACAAGTCATCTTTGATTGTTCTCCTTTAACCACTGTATCTAATCAAACAGTGATTTTTATCTATTTATTTATTTTTAAAGATTTTATTTATTTGACAGAGAGATCACAAGCAGGCAGAGCAGCAGGCAGAGAGAGAGGGGAAAGTAGTCTCCCCACCGAGCAGAGAGCCTGATGCGGGGCTTGATCTCAGGACCCTGAGATCATGACCTGAGCTGAAGGCAGAGACTTAACCCACTGAGCCACCTAGGTGCCCCTTATCTATTTATTTTTAAAGATTTTTTCTAATTTTTAAAACTTTAATATAGTTCAAATCAGTGGGCCAGGTTAACTTCAGCTCCTTCACTGCCAAACCCAGGGGGAGGGACTGCTTCAGTTTCTCTGCCTTCTCCTTGTCTATGATGACCAAGGTGTAAAGGTAACTTCTGCACCGAACTTTAAACTTCACATTATCCTTACTTTTCTTGATCTTGATGGATTTGGCATCCCTCACCTGGCTGTGAGCAGAAAGTCCTTGATTTCCTTGATTTTGCAAGGCATGGCTACGGAGAGACTGGGGAGTGCTCAGGCAGCACAGCAAGTGGCAAGGAGGATGGAAAAGCTAAAAATTTTTAGTAACCTCTACACCCAACATGGGGCTCAAATTCAAAACCCTGAGATCAACAGCCATAGGCTCCACTGACTGAAGCAGCCAGGCGCCCCTCAAACATTAATCTTTAAAAAAAAAAAAAAAAGGATACTATTTCTTGAATCCTTATTGCATGCCTTGTAATATACTAAGTCAGGGTTTTACCAGTATTCATTCATTTGCTCTTCTCTTCACTGCAATCCTGTGAAGTAGCTGCTATTACAGATGAGTAAACCGTGGCATAGCTAAGTAACATACCCACCACAATTACACGGTTAGCAAGTCACAGGAAGAGGATTTGAACCCAGGGAGTTTCGTTATGAGCCTAAGCCCTTAACTGCTCCAAGTTTTGTAAATTCTTTTTGTTTATAAACCATACATTTTTCTCTATTCTCAATGTCTAGTTTTAGGCCACCATTCCCTCTCTGGATTCCAAAATGACCTCCTATCTGGGCTTAACAACAATCCAATAATTCTCATGCATCCTAAGTGCTATTTTTAAAGTAGGCATCTGATCATGACCTTCCTCTTAATACCTTTAAATACATTTCCTGGGGCCCCTGGGTGGCTCAGTCAGTTGAGTGTCTGACTCCAGGTCTCATTCTGGGTCATGATCTCGGAGTAATGGGATTGAGCCCTGCGGCAGGCTCCACACTCAGCAGGGAGTCTGCTTGAGATTCCCCCCTCTCCTCTGCCTCTCCCCGCTTGCACACACACTCTCTTTCTAAAATAAATAAATCTTTTTTTTTTAAGATTTTATTTATTTATTTGACAGAGAGAGATCACAAGTAGGCAGAGAGGCAGGCAGAGAGAGAGGAGGAAGCAGGCTCCCTGCGGAGCCGAGAGCCAGATGCAAGCAGAGAGCCAGATGCGGGACTCGATCCCAGGACCACGAGATCATGACCCCAGCCGAAGGCAGAGGCTTAACCCACTGAGTGACCTAGGTGCCCTAAAATAAATAAATCTTAAACAAAATAAATACATTTCCCAATGTTCTGAGGATAAGACCTACTTCTTTGCACACTTCAGAACTCACATGTTGCTGCTAATTTCTCTCCCTGTATCTCTCATCAATACACTTCCTGGAGTCTGCCCTCTAGCCATAGTGAACCACTCACAAATCCTTGGTTGCATCTACATCTCCGTACATGTTGTTCTCTCTGCCTGGTGAAATCTTTCCCCACTTCCTTCTACTCCTGTTTGTCCTCCAGATCTCCACTAAAAGGTTATTTTTTCCAGAAAATCACCCTAACCCGTGTCCCCCAAACTCCTCATGTCTGGGAAGGTGCCCCTCTCTTGTGCTCCTGTCTCAGCCTTTGCTTACTCCAGTGTTATTTATTATATTGCAGTTACTTGGATCCACTGTTATCTCCGGTTTCTCTCCCCTTTACGTGATTTCCGTATAAGAAGGGATTTTATCTTCATACAGTATATATGCCCATGCTTGTACACTGTTCTAACATACAACAGGCAATTGCTTTTTTTTTAAATTTTGAATTAAGGAATGAATCCCAACTCTGTACTTACTAAGAGAACGAACAGGTAAGACGATTAACTCCCTAAGCCTCAAGTCATTCATCTGTAGAACTGGAACTATATCACATTATCTCACAAGACTGTTGTAAGAATCAAATGAGACACTAGACGATATTGTATGTACTCTGCAAAGTACAGAGTGCTACACGATGTTGGTTGTCATAATCCCTTTTTATAAATGAAGAAACTGAGCTCCAGAGAGATGAAGTGAGACTTGGGCATTTGTCACTTAATTTCTAAGTAACAAAGCTAAGACTCTGACTCCTAGTCTTGGGCTTTTTATAGGATACCAGGCTCAGGGTGCCTGGGTGGCTCAGTTGGTTAGGGGTCCGACTCTTGATCTCAGCTCAGGTCTTAATCTTAGGGTCATGAGTTCAAGCCCCCCACTGGGCTCCACGCTGGGCATGGAGCCTACTTAAAAAACCAACAAAAATACATGATCGGGGTGCCTGGGTGCCTCAGTCGGTTAAAGCCTCTGCCTTCAGCTCAGGTCATGATCCCAGGGTCCTGGGATCAAGCCCCGCATCGGGCTCTCTGCTCAGCTGGGAGCCTGCTTCCCCCTCTCTCTCTGCCTGCCTCTCTGCCTACTTGTGATCTATCAAACAAATAAGTAAAATCTTAAAAAAAAAATACATGATACCAGGCTCTACTTCATACTGACTGAACATTCCATGTATAAAGGAAAGGGGTGGAAATAAACTATATATTTTTAAGTCTAACAACAAACAATAAAACCCTTTAATTTGAAGATGAGAAAAATTAACCAAAAGCTTGGCAAGAAAATGAGAATATATGCAATAGTATTGTCTAACATTTATATTGTGCTTAGTACATTAAAAGCATTGTTTTAGGGGTGCCTGGCTGGCTCAGTGGGTTAAGCCTCTGCCTTCGGCTCAGGTCATGATTCCAGGGTCCTGGGATCGAGCCCCGCATTGGGCTCTCTGCTCAGCAGGGAGCCTGCTTCCCTCTCTCTCTCTGCCTGCCTCTCTTCCTACTTGTGATCTCTCTCTCTGTTAAATAAATAAAATCAAAATTATTTAAAAAAAATTGTTCTAAGTCCTGTGTGTATATTAGCTCCATCTTCACAATCACCGTTACATTTTAATTATCCACCTTTCACAGAATTTCTATACTTAATAAACTTTACATTATTTCATTACTTTCTTTCTTTCTTTCTTTCTTTTTTTTTTTTTAAAGATTTTATTTACTGGGGCGCCCGGGTGGCTCAGTGGGTTAAGCCTCTGCCTTCAGCTCAGGTCATGGTCTCAGGGTCCTGGGATTGAGCCCCACATCAGGCTCTCTGCTCAGCAGGAAGCCTGCTTCCCCCTCTCTCTCTGCCTGTGTCTCTGCCTACTTGTGCTCTCTTTCTGTCAAATAAATAAATAAAATCTTTAAAAAATTTTAAAAATAGTGATTTTATTTATTCACCTGAGAAAGAACCTAGGGGTGAGGGAGGGAGAAAGGGAGAAACAGACTCCCTGCTGAACAGGGAAGAGTGGGACACAGGGCTCAATACCAGGACTCAGAGATCATGACCTGAGCCAAAGGCAGATGCTTACCCAACTGAGCCACCCAGGTGCCCCTCTACTTACATTTTTTTTAAAAGATTTTATCTATTTACTTGACAGATCACAAGTAGGCAGAGAGGCAGGCAGAGAGAGAGAGGGGAAGCAGGCTCCCCGCTGAGCAGAGAGCCCGATGCGGGGCCCGATCCCAGGACCCCGGGATCACAACCTGAGCCGAAGGCAGAGGCTTAACCCACTGAGCCACCCAGGAGCCCTCTACTTACATTTTTAAGAGAAAAAAAGCACAGTCTCATTTTCACTCTTGGAAACAGTAACTGTCCTAGAAACAAACAGCTCTTTACCAAATAACTTATAGTGCTTAAGGGTGAGGGCACATTTTCTTGGTTTTGTGCTCTATTCCCTGGCCCTGAACTCATTTTATCATTCTATAGTGAGTATTCTTTTTTTTTTTTTTAAAGGTTGTATTTATTTATTTGAGAGAGAGACAGTAAGAGAGAGCATGAGAGGTGAGAAGGTCAGAGAGAGAAGCAGACTCCCCATGGAGCTGTGAGCCTGATGTGGGACTCGATCCCGAGACTCCAGGATCCTGACCTGAGCCGAAGACAGTTGCTTAACCAACTGAGCCATCCAGGCGCCCTATAGTGAGTATTCTATAGTGACTTTTTAATTGAGTCCGCACTAGTGTCTTACCTTCTGCCTGCAAAAGGACATCACAGAACACACCAGTCTGTTGCTGGTGATGAAGCTGCAGAAAAGCTAAGCGGAGAAACCTGGGATTCCTGTATAGGATTTTGGAACTGGCAGGAGAGCACATGTTGGTCTCTTAACAAACTTTCTAGGTTTTCACAGATCAGATTCCTGTAGATGAGAAAGTGTATTTCAGAAGAATGCCTATACCTAATTTGTTTTTCATTTTTGAAATGGTAGGAAAATCTTAAAAGTGGGAGATAATAGCCACGGGCTGAGTTACCATAAGCCCAGAAATTGTGCCAAGGGTCTCTTAAGAATATCATAGTGGTTACATGTGGGAGCTTAGAAGCAAGAGTAGATTTGAATCTCAGCTCTATTATTTATTAGCTTAGCTGTATAATCTCAAGCAAATGACCTAACTTTTCTGAGTCTCACTTTTCTCATCTAGGAAGTGATAATGATAACAGTACTTACCCGGTGGAGCTGTTTTAAAGATTAAATGAGTCAATGCGGGTAAAATTGCTTAGCACCGCGAGTGTCTGACACGTAACAACTATCACTTCTAAAATGGTAGCTATTGTTGTCCTCAAACCTTCTTCATTCACATTACCACTGAGACTCAACGCCTACGGTGCTGACAACTCGTATTCTTCCTGAGCAACACACTTCTGAGTTCCATAGGTATAAACCTCAATTTAACACTTCTAAAGAAACAACATTGAATAGACAATTCTCTAGGAAGTTGTACACACCTTCTTTTCTTTTGAGCTCGCTCTATCACGCTAACCAGCAGAGGGTGCACAGTAAAGAAAAGCAGGTGCTGAACTTGGTGGGAAAAATCTCTCACAGAAATAAGGACACTGCCACCCTTGCTTCAGACGTTCTTGACCAAAGCGAGCCTAATACGGCCTGGGAATTGGCAAAGATTCTAGCCTTTAGGTTTGTCAGTCTGGTTAATCGACGGGCTAACAATGGAGAAGGCATAATTAAGCATTCTACCCTCCTGATACAAGCTGGATATCCTGAATTCAGGCTTACTCCATTTCCAGCTTTTTTGCACTGAAACCCCCACACTCACTGCACAGGAAGGAACAGCTGGTGTTCCTTCCTTGGTATGCAGTTTTCTGTCAGGTGGCACCGAGGATCTGAACAGTTCCCGTCAAACTATTAGGAAAGAAAAGAGTGGAAGGGTTAATTAAGAAGGGGTAGGCTCAATTTCCATTTCAGCCAGAGAAATGGGGGCGGAGGGTGGCTGCTCTTGCAAGGTCCCAAACAGAGGCTCTGGGGAGGCTTCCCAACCCACCAGCACCCGGCCTTGCTCCCAGACCCAACCTGGAAGAGCTCTGCAGTCGGAGTTGCGCTCGCCGACGTCTTTGTGCTTGGGTCCTCTGTCCAGCCTGCCTTGCTTCCTCCCAAAGTCCAGCCTTGCGCGGGAAGGTTTAACAAAGCAGCTCAGGTGGGCCAGTGGCCTGAGGGTTCCTCTCCCTGTCCAGAACGGAGGAATCGGGGTTGGCAGAGAAAGCTGGGCTTCAGGGAAGGCCCTGCAATGCTGGGCGTCCCGCACGCTCTGGCCGCCCTGGCCCAACTCCTTTGAAGAGAGAACTCTCCGCGCGAAGATTTCTGGGAATGGAGCGTGGGGTTCCCCGAGGCCCGAATTCAGGGCTCACCGTCACCACCACGCCCAGCCGCACGGGCTTTGCAGCCACCCCCTGTTGCCTTCGTACCGCTGCGGGCCCCCCCACCCTCCTGCACCGGGGCGTGGTGACAGCGAGGGCCTGAGGCCACGCGGCCCGCGCCACACACCTCGCGCAGCCGTCCTTGCGCAGGGCGCGTTGTGGGCCCGACGTCCTTCCTCCTCCCCCAGCCCTCGGTCTGACGTCTGCCTGAATACGTCATCCCCATTGGCCGAAGGCTCCTCGGACGACCAATCACAGAGAGAGGAGCACTTTGGGCGGGAGGCTAAGTCTCGAGGGACTTGAGGGCTAAGCCAAGGTAAGATGGTCGGGCGGCGAGAGGTAGGTGGGAAGAGCCTGCTCGGGAGGGATCCTTATAGAGGCCGTCTTATCCCTTGGCTCGATGAAATCTCAGTGACAAGAGAGTCAGGATGCCCCAGTAGGGCAGGCTCCAAGGCGGTTGCAGGACACCTCTGTCTTCCCCCTGAAGAGTCTGTGGATAAACGGCCCTGGCCCTGTGATATGGCACCAGGCTTCGCGGAGGAAAAAGCCGGTGGAGGGCTCTCCTCGCACCTTGATCGGCTCTCTCTGCCCTCTTAGTGCAGGGATTTCCAGGAATGAGGTCTTTAGGCTGGAGTGCCTGAATTCAGGCTTTTCACAGATTCCACTTCACGCGAAATCTCGGAGAACCGGTGCGACCAAGGGGGTTGCTGAACCTGCCGTGTGGAGTGGCCTCCGGTGTCCTCCCAGAGGTGACTTAGTGCACTTCCTGACTGGAAACAGTTGTGTTCAGGGGTGAAATTAAAAAAAAAAAAAATGATTTCCGGTGCCAGGGTAGCTCAGCTGGTTAAGCGAATGCCTTCGGCTCAGGTCATGATCTTGGAGCCCTGGGATCATCGAGTCCCACATTGGGCTCCCTGCTCAGTAGAGGGTCTGCTTCTCCCGCTGACCTCTCTCTTTTCTTTCCTTTTTTTTTTTTTTAAATATATATATATATATAATATATATATATATATTTAATTTATTTGAGAGACAAGAGATCACAAGTAGGTAGAAAGGCAGGCGAGGGCGGGGCGGGGGGCGGGGAGCAGGCTCCCCGCTGAGCAGAAAGCCCGACGCGGGGCTCCATCCCAGAATCTTGGGATCATGACCTGAGCTGAAGGCAGAGGCTTTAACCCACTGAGCCACGCAGGCGCCCCTGACCTCTCTCTTTTCGTGCTCTCTCTCTCTCTCTTACTCTCTCTCTCAAATAAATTTTAAAAAATTCAATGATTTTAAGATTCAACATTTAGAGAGAACGCTCATTATAAATCTGAACAGCAGTTCTTACCAGTGTGTGTGTTAGGTCCTGGGGCCTGCTATCATTTAGATGCTCTGCGAAGTCCAGCTCTAGAAGAAGATGGCTGAATCCAAAGCCACTGGTGACAGAGTGTGGTGAAAACCAGAGCAGCGTTCACTGAGGCCAGCGGGAGGCAGATCGCGGAGATGCCCTGCAAAGGAACAGACAAGAGTGTGGAGAGGTGAGTAGTACCGTGCGCTCAAACACGTTTCTATTGATACCTAACACCTTTTCAAAAAGGAGTTGAGTATGTCAATTATACCATAATTATCAATTATATATAATTAAATATTTTTAAGGGATTTGGGAAAGTTGACTGAAATATGGGGGGTGGGGTGCATTTCCAAGTCAGGTAATATTTTCCTAGTTTGAGGCCTGCTCTCAAGGTGGAAAAAAGTTCAAGGAACAGAACACATTTTTGGTTGCAGTTATATTTTGAAGAGGAAACAACTGGTGAAAGGATATAAAACTTAGCAGAAAGAGGACACACGCAAGCAAGTAAGCAAAAAAAAAAAAAAACAAACAAAAAACGACAAGGCAGAACAATGTTTGTTTATGACATCTTGCTGTGGAATCAAGACTTGAGGGCCACCTGGGTGGCTCAGTGGGTTAAAGCCTCTGCCTTCGGCTTGGGTCATGATCCCAGGGTTTTGGGATCGAGCCCCGAGTCGGGCTCTCTGCTCGGCGGGGAGCCTGCTTCCTCCTCTCTCTCTGTCTGCCTCTCTGCCTACTTGTGATCTCTGTCTGTCAAATAAATAAAATCTTAAAAAAAATAAAAAGACTTGAGTGAGCAGGTGAAGTACTAGTAGAAGTGATCCTGTGGACTTATAAGAAAAACAGAAATATTGGGGTGCCCATGTGGCTCATTCGCTAAGCGTCTGCCTTTGGCTCAGGTCATGATCCCAGGGTGTTGGAAGCCCTGCATAGGGCTCCCTGCTCAGCAGGAAGACTGCTTCTCCCTCTCCTACTCCCCCTGCTTGTGTTCCTTCTCTCACTGTGTCTCTCTCTGTCAAATAAATAAATGAAATCTTAAAAAAAAGAAAGAAAGAAAGAAAGAAAAATAGAAATATTATATCCCCTCATGAATTTGTTATTATGATTAGGTTAATTTTCAAGAAATAGAGAGGACTCACTTCTTCATTTCTTCTTTTTTTTAATCCAACACCATTTAAATATATCTTGTGACAGTAGAATTTCTAAAGGGAATGGTGAACAGCCATCCTACCCAGAGCTTTAAAAATGACAAACATTCCATGGTAATGTGTAGCCACCAGAGGGTAGAAATGAGTAAAAATATTTTGTCTTCCTTTGTATTTCTAGCCAGTGCTTTTTGGAGTTGATTTTTTGTTGTTGTTTCTTCTCCTTGGCATTTATGGTTTTAGCTATTCTAGAGGTAGAGACAGCACAGCTTTCAGCCCTACATAATAATTTTAATATTTTAAACAATTTTTATTGAACTAACTTATTTTTAATATTTCTATTTTGGATACAAAATTATTTCCCAGCTCTTCCCTAATCTTTTACTATAGATTCCTATTCTCTGTTTGTTAAGTGGAGATGACTGTGGTGGGGGGGATAATTACACTTTGAGAGTTATAAAATCGAGCACTGAATGTAATATTCAATGCATTAAAAACAAAAACAAAATGAAAGAAAGAAAACAAAGGAAAAAAAAAAACCCTGAAATAAAAACCAACCATGTATGTCTACACATATACTCAATCCATTGACTTCTCTCTATTTTTACTGCTACCATTGTAGTCAGCTCGGTATTACAGCAGCTTGACCTTCAAACTAATTTCCTTGCTTTCACCCTTGCCCTCTTTATTCCATTTGTCACATAAGCCAGCAGATCTTTTCAAAATCTGAGATCATGTCATTCTACTGTTGAAAACATTCACAGGCTTCCCTCTACTGAGAGTAAGTTAATCAAAACTCCCTCTAACCTGTAAAATCCTTCATATTTCTATCACTCCCTCCTCATTTTGACACTCTGCTGGATCCACCAGGTTTCAGCTTCATCCTTGGGGGCTTTGGCATTAGTAGTTACTGTTGTTCATATGTTCTCATAGTTGGCTGCTTCTTCCCATTCAGATTTCAACTTAAATGCCAAATTCTCTGGAGAGTTTGTCCTTGACATCCAATGTTGCATAAGCCACAAGTCATTCTTATCAGTCTCTTTTAAATTTCGGCTTAGTGTTCCGTCTTACATCTTATTTTTTAAATCTTCCTTCTCCCTCCACTAGAATGTAAGCTTTCTTTATTTTTTTTTAATTTTTTTTTAAAAGATTTTATTTATTTATTTGACAGACAGAGATTACAAGTAGACAGAGAAGCAGTCAGAGAGAGGAGGAAGCAGGCTCCCCGCCGAGCAGAGAGCCTGATGTGGGGCTCGATCCCAGGACCCTGGGATCATGACCTGAGCCGAAAGCAGAGGCTTTAACCCACTGAGCCACCCAGGCGCCACCTTTTTTAATCTTTTTGAATGTAAGCTTTCTGAGAGCAGGGTACTTGTCTACTCATTATCTAGAAGAGTACCTGGCTCATAGGAGGTGCTCAAAATAACCCAAGTGGAACTCGTCTTTTTACTTTGGGTCACCTGCGTGTAAACAGTTTTTCCACTGAGTATTAATCCTTGTGATGCTTTATTTGGAGATAGCTGTTCCAGATAGATTTAACTTTTAACAAGTTTTTCACCACCGAGTTATCTTTTTTTTTTTTTTTTTTAAATAGGCTCTATACCCAATGTGGGGCCTGAAATCATGACCCCAAGATTAAGAGACACATGCTATACCATCGGAGCCAGCCAGGCCGCCCCCTGAGTTATCTTTTTTGATTTGTATATAACTTTATTTCAAATATTATCTACAAATTCATTAATATAAAATGCCTTACCCAGGATTACATAACTGGTAAGCCAAGCGACTTCATTTACTCATCCATCTGTTGCTAAATGTGAGATTTTACACTGAGCTCTGGGGCTATATCTTGAACTAGAGAGACCCTTTCATATCTTCACAGAGCTTATCTTCTGGTGAGGAGACAGGAAAGCACACACAAAAGGAAGGCAAAATACTTGCAAGTTTTTAGTGCTGATGTGAGGAAAACAAGATCAATCAATCTCTAGAAGATCATAGAATATTCTAGAATATGGCTCTGATCTAGGAACCAATGAATCAACAAATGTTTTTTTTCCCCCAAACATTTCTTGTGCTGGTGGTTTTCTTTTGGCAATCATCTTTGGCTTCAGAATTTGCTATGGAGAATCAGGAATACTAAATGGAGTGAACCCGGCCTTGGGCTTCCTGCTCAGCGGGGAGTCTGCTTCACTCTCTCCCTCTGTCCCTTACCCCGGCTCAGGCGCACTCTCTCTCTTTCTCAAATAAATAAAATCTTAAAAAAGTAAGACGTGAGAAGATAGTAGCAGAAGATTCCTAGATAATGAGAGCGAGAGGTTGTTATTTCTCTGTTAAATGTATTTATTTTTCCAGTCTGGTTTGTTTAAAGCCCACCAAACAAGTGCTGTGATGCCTTTTTGAGAGAAGTCTTTTTTTTTTGCCACTTGAGATCAAATATGAGGGTCTGTGAGACTGCAGACAGAATATGAGGGGGTGGATAATGCCTGGTTCAGCTTAATTGGAAAGGCACATAACAGAGGAGAAGTGGAATTCCGGTTTAGATAGTTAAGGAAAGGTCAGATTATAGTTAATAAGTGTGACTTTAGTGTATTGAGTGAATAAATGTAACACCTTGAAAGCAGATGAAGAACTTGGCCTTTATCCTGACCACAGTGTAAAGTGATGGATAGAGCATGGGCTTTGGAGTCAGATGGATGAGGGGTTCACTTCTTAGCTGGATGATCTCAGGCAAGTTTCTTCACCTTGTTGAACTTTGATTTCCTCATTTGTGAAATGATGGTAGTACTATCTCCATGGTGTTGTTTTAGAATTTAGAGATAATGAATACAAAGTGCCTTTCACATGATCGATGCTCTGTTATTGTTTGCTATTATGGGGCATTGGTGAGCCACTGAAAGTTTGGGGACAAGGTTGATACTGGTGATAATAACTTATTCTTAGTTTATAACCAAATGCAGTACGTTTTAAGAACTTTATGTGTGTTTTAATTCTCACAGCAGTCCTGTGAGAGATATATAGTTATTATCCCCATTTTACAGTTAAGGAAACAGAGACTCAGAGAGGTTATATAATTTGTCCAAAGTCACATAGTAATACATTTACTTAAGTGTCCTTGCAGAGGAGGAAGGTTTGTAGCCAAGGCAGTTTGAGTGCAGAATTTATGCTCTTAACCATTACTCTGGATTTTGAAAACTTTATGAAGATTCATTTGGCAGCAGTCTAACAGGATAGAATTTAGGCTTTTCAGTAAGAAAAACAAAAGGAAATTTTAAATACGTCATTATCATCTTTGTTTAGTAACCACCAAATGACCATAAAATACTAGTCTTTGTCAAGCCTGTTAAAAAAAAAAAATCCAGTCTCTGTCTTTCATGGCATAACAGTGTAAGAACATATTAAGGATAATTCTTAACTCAGGAAAAGAATACTCATATAATCCTCTACTTGGGTTAAATGTAAAAAGAGAATGTAGGAACTCTAGCATCTTAAGCTCCAAGTATACAAAGAAACTGTATTTTCTTAACAGGAGACTTGTTTTTTCTTACACATGCTGTGAATGCCTCTAAATATATTGCTCGCTTATTGAATTCCACTTATTCTCCCCGCTCAAACCCTCATTTTTTTTTTTAAGATTTTATTTATTTATTTGATAGAGAGATCACAAGCAGGCAGAGAGGCAGGCAGAGAGAGAGGAGGAAGCAGGCTCCCTGCTGAGCAGAGAGCCCGATGCGGGGCTCGATCCCAGGACTCCGAGATCATGACCTGAGCCGAAGGCAGCGGCTTAACCCACTGAGCCACCCAGGCGCCCCAAACCCTCATTATTTTGATTTGGGGACAAGTGGGAAGACAGTGATTTTCCTCAACAGCCTAGTGGATTCAGCTTCCTTCTAGTTGAAATATACATATAGACTCTAAAAACTGTTAACAAGTCCAGGCATTTATTTTTTTCTCATTAGCTCTTATGCAGTTAAATAAAAAGGATGAAATTGAGAATTTACCTCAGATATTCCCTACCATCCTAATCAATACATAATAGTTCTATTTCTAGGATTTTTCTCTCCTTCCCTTCCTGTCTTCTTTTGGGAAAATGCCTTTGGAAAATGCCTTGTTGTTGAAAGCAACAAACCAAATAGCAGCAGGCAAATAAAATCAGCTCTTCTTCTATTTCCCTACCCGGAAACGAAGGGAAAGAGAGCAAGAACCCCACAACAGAAGAGAACTGAAGCTTAGGCGTGCCATCCCGAAAAGCCCTTGTCCCTCCCCCCACCCCGGAGCTCTGCAGCAATTCCTCAGAGATTGTGTAGTCTCCACTTTAAATATAAATATATATATAAAACTTCCCCCTGTCTCTTTCTCTCCTCCTCTCACTCTCCTTTTTATTTTTTTAATTTCCTATAATAAAGTTTCCTATTGGATAAAATCAGCTCCCTGATTTATGCCTGGTTCCTATTGGAAGTTCTCAGGGGCTGACATCACTTAGGAAAGCGAGGGGGTAGGGCTGCCAGATCAGTTTGTCACCACCCAGGCTCCCTAGCCTTTGGCTGGGTGCAACTTCCATTTTAGGTGTTGGATCTGAGAGAAAAAAAAGAGAGAGAGAGAGAGAAACTGAGAGAGAGGGAGAGAGAGAGAGAAAGAAGAGCAGGAAAGATCCTGAAAGGAGGAAGAGGTGGTGAAAAATCAAGTACCTTGCTGGATTTGTCTTTCTCAGCACACTGACGAAGCCTTGGGTTTCTTTCTTAAAGGACTGGTTTTTAGAAGTCCACATTTGAGGTGTGTGCCTTTTTAAAAAATGTGTGTACAGACGGGTAAAGGAGGAGAAGCCAAGTCGAATTTTTGTCTTACGGTAACCAGAGGGAAGTTAAAAACGAGAGAATCTGCTCTGCTGACGGGTGACTTTTAAGCAATTATTATTTTGTCTTTCTACTTACTTCGGGAAATTTGGGTATTATATTAGAAAGTAAAATATTCAAGACCCAGAAACAAACTTCTAGGTCTCTCTAATATAGAGATTAATAGATTCAGAGGGGTGAGAGCAAATTTACATTTACATGTAAATTTACATTTTGGTGTGTTCTCTGATTTTATATTTTTTCTGGTTTTAAGCTAACAGATTTCTATTTTCAGAGCCCAAACCGAAAGTTCGGTATTTTGGCATGTTGCGTGTGGGTTGGGAAAGGAATTTGTCCGGGTCGGAAGCTAGTTTTACGGATGGTTCTTCATATGTCTCAAAACTTTTTTTCCCCCCGTTATCATTAGATTTGTGGAAGTGGAAAGTTGTAGGGAGTTTTTTGCAGCTTTAAATGGTGGTGTTTTTTTTCCTCCAGAGAGTTTGAAGGGCCCAGATCAGTTTCAGCTCTGCTGTTCCTGGGTGGATCCCTCTTTTACTTTTCCAGGTGCGGTGGGTGGGAGCCTCATTCTCCGGCTAGACCTAGCCTCTCTGCTTTGCTTTATAAAAGAAAACAAATGGATCCATGTTAAACAAACTGCCATTCCTTTCTTCCTAAGACTACCTTTGACGGCAGAGATTTGTGGAGGTGTAGGTTCAGTTTGCAAGTACCATAACGTTTGGTTAAATGCTTCCAGGGATAAGGAAATTCTAATCATGCTTTTTCAGTTCACCTGAATAAAGTGGTAGCACACCTGGAAATATTTTTAGCTTTGTGCCCCTTGAAAGGGCCGTGGATTTAATAAGATGAGGCTAAGAGAAAACACTCAATGCAAACTTTAGTGCTTAGAATGCATTTAAGAAAGCACAACAGAAATTCTTATTTTTAAGCCAACTGAAAGTTGTTTTTTGGAGCTGAGTTTTTTTTGTTTGATATATTTGCCGTGGAATTAAAAATCTGTAAGAGCTGAAGGCCCATGACTGCTTTCATATATTTAATCTTAAGATTTGTTTTGATTTTGTTTTTGCAAGTACATTCTTGGAAAAATACTGTTTGTAGATAATTATATAGCCAACTCATCAGCAGCTGAAAACTGAGTGTTCCCTTCTTTCTGTCTTTGAAAATGCGAATCAGTCTGAAAATTATAGCTGGAATAGATACTGCCCTGATTGTAACAAGATGGGCCTTAATAGATAAGCAGCTCTTTAGCTTTAAACTGGGATGTATCTTTAAAAATCCTCTGGTTTAGTGCCCTCCCCCCATTCTTTTTAGACCACAACTCTTCCTTGAATTTCTTTACCAGAATGAGAGTATTTCTTGAAAGATGATTTCATCCTTGTGAGGTTGTGGCTTCCGAGGAAACAACTTTGTTCCTTCTTTTAATATAATCTATGCGAGGGCTACAGTAAAGTCTTGATGTCTGAATCTCATAATTATAGCAAGTGCAGTTAAAAAGAAAGGAAAAAGAATGTGTACAGTCTGTTGGGCTGTAGTTCTCATTTAATATTTTCTGAATTTTCTTTCAAACATTTCTCTGCTTTGACTCCAGCCGAGGGGAGGTTTCTTGGTGGATCTTTGGAGGGTTGGTCATGTTGCTGCCAGAGTGTCGGTTTCCCACTCAACCTTTAGGGGGAGGGATGAGGGAATCTGAAGAAGGAGTACAAAGGCAGTTTGAAAATAGGTTCTGGATGACTGAGTGGTGGTGATTTGGTTCCAGCTTTAAATACTGGGCTTTGTGTAGCTACAGTGAGCATCCTAGTAACTAGCGTCCAGGACTATTTCCACGACTGAGGCTTTGTTTTGATTGGTGTGTACTATAGAGCATTTTGGTTGATAAGATGGAAGATTTGTCTTTTACCTCACCTCTACTAGTTCTTTCAGGAAATACAAGGGGTCCAAATAAGCAAATCTTTTATTTTCTGTTTTGCTCCTCATTTTGGTTTTTGGGTAAAAAATGACAAGTAAGTATGAGTTGTGCAGATTTCCTTTTTTTTTTTTTTGTTCGGCTCCTATATACTGTTGGTTTCTTTGTTATACGACTAAGGTACGGTCTGTAAGGTGGGTGTCTCTTTGGGTGGTTAGAGTTCTAGCACCTTTCTTAGGGTTCCAAATTATGGAGAGTCACAGGGGCAAGGCTATGTTCTCTGAGTGTAAAAATTGGGACTATTTGAGACTTAAAAAACAAAAAAAGAGCTCCGAGTAATTGCAATTCAGCCTTAGGTTTATGGTTGCTCTCTAGGGATGGGTGAGACAGGACGGATGCAGATAAATTAAGCATAGATCACTATACAGTTGGAATAAAAAAATGATTAGCTCTGTATAATTTATTGCTTTCTATTTTAGTATCTGATGGTCCCTTGTTACTTCCAGCCCTTTCTCCCCACCCCCTTGTTTTTTTTACTGCATGGTAAGCATTTTGCATAAACTATTTGCTTAATTTCCCACAACAGTATTTTAAGGAATGTGAGCCTCAGAGAAGCTGAGGTTTGCTGAAAATCTCACTGCGTGTAAATGGCCAAGGCCAGATTAAATCCTGGTCTGACTGACTACAAAGTCCATGGACTTAGCCACTAATGTACTACCATCCTCCAAAGAGAACAGAAGCAAGAACCAGAACTAAAATGAGCCCTTGCTAGAGGCAGAAGTGTTTAATTTTGCAGAGGGCCAGTCCCCACTTAGATTTCCAACCCCCTGCATGTTGGGATAATATATGTAAAAAATCCATGTTCCATAAATCCCACAGAGAGCTGAATATGTTAGAATGGGTATTATCTCACTTTAAAACAGGAATCTTCCCATGTGCTCATCGTTGCTGACGAAGTCATCCTGACTTCTTAAACTTACCGGAAATGCCTCCAACTTTGATTATCAGTGAAATTTCTTCTTCCAGACAATTTTGGAATGATCTTGCCAGCTTGCAGGGAGAGGCTTGTAACAGTAGCTCAAATAATGTTTATCACACTGTGTTAAAATTGTCTACTTTTTTTTGTCTTTCCCTCTAGACTGTAAGCTGCTTGAGTGTAGATGCTATGTTACTTCTGTGTCCTCTTAGCACCTATCTCAGTGTCTGGTGTATACCAAGGTGTCAGTAAGCCTTAGTTAAATAAAGCACTTGATAGGAATCATTGAGGGACTTTTGTGGGGAAGCCTGAAAGGAAGTTGAGATGGGAAGCAATACAGCCTAGATTAATGAAATCACATTGTGATTTAGAAACTTCTGCTTTTTTTTTCTGTTTGTAGTTTCGACCTTTTACACATTTCCTCTCGTTTTAACGTAAGGTTTCTGGAGATAATCAAAGTTTTAAAATTTTAATTAAAAACAAGATTCTGTTTCTTTTCTGGGCAGGATGTCCAAAGAATAGTATAAAAAGTAAGGGTCCTAATATTTCATAATTTAGGCAGCTGTAAACTTCAACCACTGAAACCTTGAATACAACCATTGCCTAGGGGAGAGGCACTGCTTACCTGGAACAGGGCAGCAACAGGAAAGTATTGCTTTCAGACATGTTGGAAGTGAGTGGTATTTATACTAATTAATAAAACCATAAAAAGCTTGGGATGATAGTTTTGACTATCAGTGTTCTAAAGGAAGTATGTTCAGATATCATTATATTTTTTAAATTAGTGCTTCTGCCATGAAACTTCAGGAAATTTTGTTCACAAAATGTATTGGGAAGTTTATGAATTTGAGAACCCAAATTAATTTTCATGGATAATTTAGAGTGATAGTAACAAGGAGCTTGCCTAAAATAATGATGCATAGGTTATCAGTATATGATTTCATGTTCTCTTCCATTGCACAAGGATTCAAATGCCAGGATCATAAAGCTGAAATAGGGATCGCTCTCCCTAAATGCAGCAGCCTGCAAGGTTTCCAATAGAGAGCATTGATACAGCCTGGCAGCAACATAGTAAGGAGGGAAGAACTGCTATTCTGGTTAGAACTAGCAAGGGGGAAATAAGTGTATGGATAGATTGGTATTTGGTTATATTGTATAATGTATTTTGGGGAGTAAATGTGCTCCCCCACCCCATATTTGGGATTACATGTCATTGGTTATTAAATATTAAGCACTGAGAATAGAGCCCACATTTACTGTTGTGGTTCAGGGACAGTGTTCCCCATTTTTAGGGCCATTTCCTCTCCAGTGAGTCCTTCAGTATGACTGGAGTGGTGTGGGCAATTTAGATGAGGCATTTAGTGGGGACGTTATAAGTATCGTTTTCTTAAAGCCTTCTTTTCTGGCCAAAAGGTAATGTGGTCATCACTTTTAGAAAAGATAACCTATTGTATGATAAAAGCAACTTCAAACTTTTGATTTTGAAAAAAATTTCAAACTTAGAGGAAAGTTCCAGGAATAGCACAAGAACTGCTATGTATCCTTTAGTCACTTAGACACCCATGGTTGACCTTTTGCCTCAAATGCTTTATTATTCTGTATTTTTTTTATCAGTATGCTGATGGAACAGAATTTCCAGTCTAAGAGTTCCACAGACCTGGAGAGGCAAGGCACAGTAGCATAGTGGTTACCAGCATGGATCCCTGAGCTAGTCTACTAGGATTCACTCTTACTCAGCTACCTACTAGTGCGTAGCCTTGGGCAGATTGTTTAACTGCTCTAAGCCTTGATCTCTGATGGTAAAATGAGGACAATTATTATCCATCTCATAGAATTGTCATGATGCTTAAGTGATTTAATATATGTATGTATATGTTAATGTCTTATAAGTTTTTGCTGTTAGAATGGGTGCTTTAAATGAATTCAAGTATCTTTTGTCTGTTGGACTAAAGACCCTTTAAGGTCTCTTAAAACCTGATGTTCTCTGGTATAGATGTTTGTATTAGGGAATAAATGGGCTTCCCATTTATTTATTTTATTTATT